TATTTGCGTAACGAGCTGAGAATAAAACAAACAAATTTCGCAGAAGCGATTATGTGTGAACGAAGATTTCGAAATTTCGAAATGTCAGTGCACGATGACACGCTGTCAAAGAGATCTGATAGGTAATAGTACGTTTCAGGAACTTTGTTTATGTTTTTTTTTAATATAATACACATGGTGTATTTTAAATTTAGTAAAATGAATATACAAATATTGAAATAGCTTGATAATTTTGAAACAGTTTATTAATGATTCAAAAGAGAACATAAAGAAATTAACAAATCAGCTATTTATTGTTTGTTGGTTTATAAATGAGAAAGGTAGTTGTCTGTTACGACCATTGGTTAAGGAACGAGAGAAACATATACAGGGTGTTCGGCCACCTCTTGCAAAAATTTTAATGAGCGACAGTAGAGGCCAAAATAAGACGAAAATCAAGTATACTAATTAGTTGATGGAGGCTTCGTTACAAAGTTATTAACATTTAAAGTTCCGCCTGAATCATGGCAACCATCGAGCATATGCGTAAGCGTAGGTCAGGAGACGATGTATTACAGGAACCGAGCTTACCGACTTATCGATCGCCTTTCGTGTTTGCGTCAACTCTCAGGACGGCGACCGTGGTACGTTGAATGAAATCCGACAGCCCCTCGTTTTTGCGTCAACTCCCAGGAAGGTAAACGCATATCGTCGAATAGGATTCAACCTGTCTTATGAACATCCAGAGGGGCATATCAATACTCGCCCGACAAGATGTTCACAGAGAGAGGGTGAATGCCTCTTTTAACACACACATTTTTTTCTGCATAAAAATCACCCACACGCGAGCATACACGCATCGCGATTGTCCCGTCCGCGAATGTCCACGTGTACGCGCACCACGATTGTCCCGACCGCGAGTGTCCACAAGTAAATACTTTTCGACGAGCACCACTATTCAATTAAATAATACACGCGCACCGCGATTGTCCCGTCCGCGAGTGTCCACATACACAGAGAGAACTGCCTCACAAAAGATGTTCCACGTGGCCACCATTCTCTTGTAGGCACAGCTGTATTCTTCTCTGGAAATTTCGTCGCATATTTTCTAAATGAGCCCCTTCTCGTGACTCAATAATACCAGCTGAAAACGTAATCCGGCTATTGAGTTCGTCGAGCGAGTTTACTGGTGTTGAGTAAACTAAATCCTTTAAGTGGCCCCAGTAGAAAAAATCAAGGGGGTTGAAATCAGGTGAACGAGCAGGCCACAGTTGAGGTCCTCCTCGTCCAATCCACCTGTTTTTAAAGTACGCGTTTAAATGCCCGCGTACTGCCAGTGTGGAATGGGGCGGTGCACCGTCGTGCATGTACCACATGTTTCTGCGTACATGTAGTGGTACATCCTCCAGAAGGCTTGGCAACTACGTTTCCAAAAATTCCAGGTACAATTGTCCTGTTAATCGTTGTGGCAAGACCACAGGACCAATAATTTTACTGCCAAGTATTCCTGCCCAAATATTGACAGAAAACTGGCGTTGTGTATTTATTGCGTAAACCGCGTGTGGGTTTTCTTCTGCCCAAATATGGGCATTGTGTGTGTTTACTGTACCGTGGCGATTGAATGTTGCCTCGTCGGTAAACAGTATATTTGAAATAAAATCTTCGTTATCTCTAATCATGGCTAACATCTATGTGCAAAAATCTTTCCGTTTTGCAAAATCACCCTCTTCTATTTCTTGTACCCGTTGGAAATGGTACGGGTGCAGTTGCTCCTGCCTCAATATTTGCCAAACAGTCGAATTACTGACATGTTCGGTTACTGCTATTCTTCGTGTGCTCGTCCTGGGATTTTCTTCAATCGTTCGAATTACTTTTTCCTTCAATTGTCGGGACTGTTGTTCTCGTCCACCAATTTGACGGGTCAGGATCGACCCCGTATCCCGTAAACGCTGGTATGTACTTGTGATCGTCCTCCCGTCCGGTATTCGCCTATCGGGGTATTTTTCCATGTAAATACGGCGTGCTTCGCAAGCATTGCCTTTTGCTTGGCCGTAGCACATAATTATGTCGGACAGTTCGACCAGCGTATAATTAATAATCGGCATTCTTTCTCGTTCGGCGCCGCGCACTACACAACACAAACCGCGTACCACACACTACACTGCACTACACAACACTACACAACACAACTTAATAATAAACCGCGGATTCCGATTCCACGCACTATCGCGCAATAAAAAAATAAAACTGAAAAAAAATTTGTAATTAGTAAATATGATTAATGACTAATTCAGATTGTATAGTTCTAGAGCTATTGAATGTCCGTATTCGTTGGCGACTGTCTTCGAAATGAGTATACAATTTCTTACCCTAATAGCAAAGGTCGAGAAAAAGAGACAGGACAGAAAGACGGAAAAACGAAACTGGAAAATACTCAGTGTATAGAAAAGTTTAGCGAAAAAGAGTCATAAAAGTCAAGAGGATCTGGTCGCCAAATGTTTAAGAGGACGACCAGGCTCGCACGAGACCCTGGGAAAATGGAAAAATAGAAAGCTTAAAACTATCCTTACATTCTATTCCCATTCATACTCTGGCAAGGGTGTAGTGGCTATACAATGGCCGCTACAATCCGTATTCGTTGGCGACTGTCTTCGAAATGAGAAAAGACAAACAATGACGAGTGGCGAGAAAAGCAAACACTTTATTAAAGTGCCGAACGCGCGGCCTACGAAGCATACATTGTAACAATTTCCATGTACGTTCTGGGTGTCATATTTTAAATATTAAGTAAAAAGAAATATTTATGATCTTTTGAAACTTTTCTATACACAGTATTTTCCAGTTTCGTTTTTCCGTCTTTCTGTCCTGTCTCTTTTTCTCGACCTTTGCTATTAGGGTAAGAAATTGTATACTCATTTCGAAGGCAGTCGCCAACGAATACGGGCATTCAATAGCTCTAGAACTATACAATCTGAATTAGTCATTAATCACATTTACTAATTACAAATTTTTTTTCAGTTTTATTTTTTTATTGCGCGATAGTGCGTGGAATCGGAATCCGCGGTTTATTATTAAGTTGTGTTGTGTAGTGTTGTGTAGTGTTGTGTAGTGCAGTGTAGTGTGTGGTACGCGGTTTGTGTTGTGTAGTGCGCGGCGCCGAACGAGAAAGAATGCCGATTATTAATTATACGCTGGTCGAACTGTCCGACATAATTATGTGCTACGGCCAAGCAAAAGGCAATGCTTGCGAAGCACGCCGTATTTACATGGAAAAATACCCCGATAGGCGAATACCGGACGGGAGGACGAACACAAGTACATACCAGCGTTTACGGGATACGGGGTCGATCCTGACCCGTCAAATTGGTGGACGAGAACAACAGTCCCGACAATTGAAGGAAAAAGTAATTCGAACGATTGAAGAAAATCCCAGGACGAGCACACGAAGAATAGCAGTAACCGAACATGTCAGTAATTCGACTGTTTGGCAAATATTGAGGCAGGAGCAACTGCACCCGTACCATTTCCAACGGGTACAAGAAATAGAAGAGGGTGATTTTGCAAAACGGAAAGATTTTTGCACATGGATGTTAGCCATGATTAGAGATAACGAAGATTTTATTTCAAATATACTGTTTACCGACGAGGCAACATTCAATCGCCACGGTACAGTAAACACACACAATGCCCATATTTGGGCAGAAGAAAACCCACACGCGGTTTACGCAATAAATACACAACGCCAGTTTTCTGTCAATATTTGGGCAGGAATACTTGGCAGTAAAATTATTGGTCCTGTGGTCTTGCCACAACGATTAACAGGACAATTGTACCTGGAATTTTTGGAAACGTAGTTGCCAAGCCTTCTGGAGGATGTACCACTACATGTACGCAGAAACATGTGGTACATGCACGACGGTGCACCGCCCCATTCCACACTGGCAGTACGCGGGCATTTAAACGCGTACTTTAAAAACAGGTGGATTGGACGAGGAGGACCTCAGCTGTGGCCTGCTCGTTCACCTGATTTCAACCCCCTTGATTTTTTCTACTGGGGCCACTTAAAGGATTTAGTTTACTCAACACCAGTAAACTCGCTCGACGAACTCAATAGCCGGATTACGTTTTCAGCTGGTATTATTGAGTCACGAGAAGGGGCTCATTTAGAAAATATGCGACGAAATTTCCAGAGAAGAATACAGCTGTGCCTACAAGAGAATGGTGGCCACGTGGAACATCTTTTGTGAGGCAGTTCTCTCTGTGTATGTGGACACTCGCGGACGGGACAATCGCGGTGCGCGTGTATTATTTAATTGAACAGTGGTGCTCGTCGAAAAGTATTTACTTGTGGACACTCGCGGTCGGGACAATCGTGGTGCGCGTACACGTGGACATTCGCGGACGGGACAATCGCGATGCGTGTATGCTCGCGTGTGGGTGATTTTTATGCAGAAAAAAATGTGTGTGTTAAAAGAGGCATTCACCCTCTCTCTGTGAACATCTTGTCGGGCGAGTATTGATATGCCCCTCTGGATGTTCATAAGACAGGTTGAATCCTATTCGACGATATGCGTTTACCTTCCTGGGAGTTGACGCAAAAACGAGAGGCTGTCGGATTTCATTCAACGTACCACGGTCGCCGTCCTGAGAGTTGACGCAAACACGAAAGGCGATCGATAAGTCGGTAAACTCGGTTCCTGTAATACATCGTCTCCTGACCTCCTACGCTTACGCATATGCTCGATGGTTGCCATGATTCAGGCGGAACTTTAAATGTTAATAACTTTGTAACGAAGCCTCCATCAACTAATTAGTATACTTGATTTTCGTCTTATTTTGGCCTCTACTGTCGCTCATTAAAATTTTTGCAAGAGGTGGCCGAACAACCTGTATATTTTTACAAATATATTTAAGAACAATCCTTGATAATTCTTTCTAATTACATCTGGACTGCAAGTTTCACGAATTTACAAATTTAATTACATTCACAAGATTTTGTTTAATAACTTAGTTTAATTATATTAAATGACTAATACAAGAAACGATTGTATGCGTTTCGTTTTAATTTGCTTCGCATTATGGCTAATTTTGTAAAATAAATTATTAATACAGTCACCTCATCATACTGCATTTATTTATCAGTACATTCTTTAAAGACCATACTGCATCTTATATGTTAAAAGCATACAAGAATAATTAAGCATATTCTATAAATGTTTAATTGCATTTCTGTAATTATCATCACATAGTATACGTCGCGTATGAAAAGTAAATGTATTCATAATTGTTGCAACAACGGTGGTTTATGATTGAAGAAACTAAAATTAATCTTGTGAAACAAAGATAGCGTTGAAAAACTTTTCAACATGTAAATATCGTAGAGACACAATTATAGCAAATGTGAAACTCTGTAAGAACAGTGAATACAAACACAAGAAACCAACATGCATTATTGACAAAATATTACTTATTACTTATGACACTTCCTACTTCAGTATTTCAACGTTAAAGTGGTTCTGTGTATCGCGACGTTAGACATAATTCTTCTCTTGTTTGGGAGAACAATTGCGAATCTTCCTCTTTCTGACATGTCTTCGTCAAGAGAGACAATGAAAGTTAAACTTGATCGGTAAAAGGAACAAACGCACGATTGAAATTTAAATGCAGGGTAAACATATAGAAATATTGTCACCGCGAGATAAAGTCATAATATTACTTTAAAGTATATCTAAATTTCATGAACATCGAAAGTTGTCGCAGTCAGTTCTTTATAAGGGCTTAAATAAGAATATACGATCCATACAACGAAAATGGTGAAAATGGTTTTCACGAACGTATCGGCGTAGTATAGGTAATTAAGAATTTTTCGTGCGCGAGGTAAAGTCGAAGGATCGTCTTTCAGAAAGTATTCCCTAGCGCCTAGTAAATATATACATATGAAATCGTCCCAGGAAATTACCGCCGTGTCCATAAAGAATACTTCTCTATCGGATGGATTCAACTCGAGCTGCAGTTGTTTCATTCGATCATTTCTAAAAAGAGCAGAGAAATATTAGCGTTTAAATATTTGGACAGAATCTATATCAGCATTGTGTTATTTCAATAAAGTTAGAGATATATTGAAAAATGGAAGTTGATTTGGACACTCCTGAATCGTGTAACCTGTTATCGTAAGGTTCCCCAAAAAAACTATGAAAAGAATGCAATACTGAGATTAGCGACATTGGTTACTATGAGTCCAAGATAGTCCAAATCAATTTTTTGATGAAATTTTAGTGCAGGGTGTCCCAACCTTGATAATACAAGAAAAGGGGATGATCCTACATAAAAGAAACAAATCGAAAATAAATAATACAACTTTTTCATTTGAATCTTTGCTTTCGAGAAAATCGACTTAAAATATTTACTGATTATAGTTCTTAAATATATTAGAGAGACTTAAAGAAATCGATTTTTTTAAATTGTATTTTCTAAAAGTAAAATCTTTTTAAAATTAACGAAATTATATTAATAATATTTATATTTGATGTCACTACTTTTTAAACAAAAAATGCATGCAAATTACTGTCTTTACAAGTCATTATCAAGATCATGAATGTTATAGTATTGTCATAAGTATAATTGAACTTGGACATTTAATTAAACAAATTTTTTTTGTGTATTATTTGTTTGCATAAATGTCTGATTTAATATTACATCTGTATCTAGATTCATTCGACTACCGCTAACACGTTACCAACTGATTAGGGAGATTTCCTTCTTTGAGTCACACTACGTAGTTTATATTAACTGTACTTAAAGTCAAAGATAACATAATGGGCACTAGATTAGAGTTAATTTTCGAAGGATATACAAATTTAAAATCACTTACATATGTTGCTAGTCTTACGTGCATTCTTTTAGAATATCATAGATAAACTATTGAATTAGGAAAAACTATTTGTTTAGTAACATTGATCAGATTGTATACAATGAAGTCTTATATAACAATTTTATGTATCTATGACAAACGAAACGTTACTGAATAACTATTTTTACAACCATCGAGAGCTAATTATAATGTGAAATTTAAAAAGTTTCGATCTTGAGTAGTTCCATTTAATAATCGTAAGTTATTAATCAACGAGTTACAGCAGTTATAGACTTTCAAGTTAAGTTATTGAGAGCAGTTTCTTAGTTGAGAGTATATTCAAAATCGATTCTCTCGAAAACGTTGCCTCAAATGAAAAAATTCTATTCTTTATTTTCTGTTTGTTTCTTTCACGTAGAATCATCCCCGTTTTTTTTCATTGTATCATCGATACTGGGCCACTACGTATAGAGAGAAAATAAAATTTTAATATAATTTTGTCTACCGAAAGTGCCAATCCTTCGTAGTATAGTAATACATCAATTTGATAGCGGCGTTGATTTTGTATTGTACCTTCACCAGAAACGGTTTGTTTCCAGTTAACGTGATTATCGTGTCTATGATATACGCTGGTAGTAAATGAAACAGGATTACACAGACCCAAAAGTATAACTTCAACGAAGTTAAGCTTCCGTTTGGGTACCACAGAAGACCTGCAAGAATAATTTTCAATTATTCCAAGTGTCAATTTGAAGACTTAGATGTATTCCAAAAAGTTTATATCGCTTAAAAAAATGAATTTCCAAATTTTTGCCACTTTCTCGTAATGATTACGAATTATGTTTATTTAAATAAAATTAAGCATTTTTCGTGTAGCGGTATAGATTTGGTTTTTTTAAGGGGGGATGTTCGTGTTCTCTGGTTCAATAAATCGAGTTTTATTTTTTCTCGTAAATAATAAGTACATTTCAAAAGTAAATGCCCAAGATCTTTAAATTGAATTCGCAAAAATAACAGTTACAGGCCAATTTCTAAGACGTGTCAGAATGTGAAACGACAAGCAGTAGACAACGATTTTCTTAAAACGATATTCTTTAAATTAGCATCTGAGAAAAATATAATTGGCAAATTAATTTCAAATAAAATTTTAGTTTCAGGTTTTTTCTCCGCTTTCCATTAATAATTCTCTCGTGTAATAAAATAAAAACGTAGCAAAATAAATATAACTCAATAATGTCAAATAAGTATATAACACATTCGTACAGCAATTGTAACATTGCAAACATTATAAACTTGTAGATCGTACGTTGTATTTTTATTTTAAAAACAGATTCAATACCAGCGTGAACTATCTAACTTTAAGAAAGTTGTTTGATTCTTGCATTGGGATAAACATATACAAGACGCAAACAGGAGTTACAACGTTCAAGAAGTCACCAAGATACTATATTAATTAATAAATAATAAAAAGAATCGACATAAAAGAATTATTTTCTATAATACAAAGATGGTTTTTTATTCCCTCGAAAAAATGCAATCGAAATTGACGACGGTTACAAAAAAATTCGTAAATATTAGCTACCTTTTTGATCTATTACACAAGAATCCTCCCTAAAATTGAAAGAGGGCAATACTGGTTTTTCTCTTATTAATGCAATAATTTGTTACTTTTTCTTTTAATTTAGTAGTTCACGAACCTGAGAATGGATTTTTCCTTGTCCATTTAATTCCACTTTCTATGGCATAACCCCAAGAGAGTGGATTCTCAGATCCACTAGCCACGTTCATATATATTGGCATCTTAGGTTTTTCCATTCCTATTTTCCTTGCAAACGTGATCATCGCGTTGATCGCCATGTCACAGGGAATTATATTCAACAAACAGTCGTAGTCGCAGAGCATAATCCTGATCACTCCTTTTCCACCCCCTATCATTAATCCCATAGGTCCGTTTATATTGTCTACCCAACCAACTACCGGTTCTTTTAACGATCCCACCACTAGAATTTGAAAAATATTCATTTATTAATTGAACGAGTTTATGAATCATAAAATTCTTGCCAGTTAAGGGGCAAATGACACAGTCAACGGTGCCTTTCTTTTTTTTGACACACATTTTGATTTGACGCGCCAAGGTACCCATTTGACGTACCAAGGTACCTATTATTTCGTCGATAGCATGATAGAGCAACTATTCATTTTCTGAAAGTAGCCCCCCCATTCACGTGAATGTTTATCGAAAGTTCAACTACAGGTTTGGTCGACCAACTAAATATTGGGTTTTGATCAATATAAAAGTCCATCAAACCCATAGGAAAACCATCAACAAACAAGAACGAGTTGGTTTACGGTCCTGAACAAGCAAAATGTTCAGCATCAAACGTTTAACTTCAGAGTTTGAGTCATCTTCAGTACTATTCAAAAGTGTTAACAAATATTATCATAGAAACTATTACAGTCCCGTGACATCGAAGAGAGGCAAAATTTTCAACTTTCTTAATGCTTTTAATCAAATTGCAAGGTGAGCTTTGATAACATGTATATTAAATAATAATATTATATGTAAAAAATACACGAAATATAGGTTAATAACGTGCATTTCCTCCCTTTGCTTTGATTAATGCTTGTATTCGTTCTGGAATGGTATGTACCTACACATCGTTTGATCACATTTTTTATAATTTCGCTGTTTTGCCAAATATCTGCGATCTTTTCTTTCAAATCGGCTACTGAAATGTTTGAGGACGAATATACAGAGTATTCGGCCATCCCTGAGAAAAATATTAATGGGAGATTCTAGAGGCCAAAATAAGATGAAAATCAAGAATATCAATTTGTTGATTGAGGGTTTGTTAAAAAGTTATTACAAAATTAAATTAAAAAATTTCAAATTATTCTGAAAAAATTATTTTTCGTTGCGGGGGCCAATTACAATCACTTTTGGTGAATATACCTACCTCCAAAATCCTACCCAGTTTCGAGAAAAAAATTCGTTACCGAAAATATAATGTCTGATCATGAATGAATAATTCCCCTGAAATTTCACGTGTTTCAAATCATTCTAAAAAAATTATTTTTAATTGCAGGGGTCGATTGCAATCATTTTTGGTGAATAGACATACCCTCGAAATCCTGCGCACTTTCGAGAAAAAAATTCCGAAACGAAAACGTAATGTACGGCCAGAAATGTACCCCGGTAATTTCTTCCTGAACGGATTGGACGATTTTAATGTTTCAAAATAAAAACTACGCGTATTTTAGTGGAGAATACGTAGAAGTTCCAAAAATATTCGAAAAGTTATTCCTTGACCTCGCAAAATAAGAAAAACTCCGTAATAATGGTCTAATTTTCAAACGGCCATAACTCCTACAATAGTGAATAGATTTCAATGAAACTTTTTTCTGTAGTAGTGCTCATGGGTACCTACAAAAAAGTATTAGACAACTTTTCTGTAGGGTGTCAAACAACATTACTAAAAATCAAAAAGGAATTTTCAAGAAAAATCGACGGGGGGTAGTTGAGATGGTTTTAAAAAAATTTTTCCAGTTGCGGGGATCAATTGCAATCATTTTTGTCCAATAGACATACCCCCGAAATTCTAACCAGTTTCGAGAAAAAAATTCATTGCTGAAAATATAATGTCTGATCATAACTGTCTACTACCCTGAAAATTGGATAGTTTTAAATCATTCTGGAAAAATTATTTTCAGTTGTGGGGGTCAATTACAATCATTTTTGGTGAATAGACATACCCCCAAAATCCTATGCATTTTCGAAAAAAAAATTCGAGTAGGTGCTAAAATTTTTTGGCAAAATTAAAAAATTTAAATTTGTTCTGGAAAAATTATTTTCAGTTGCAGGGATCAATTACAATCATTTTTTGTGAATACACATACCCCCGAAATCCTACGTACTTTCGAGGAAAAAATTCTTTACCGAAAATATACTGTGGGCCGGAAATGTTTCTCTAGTTTTTTAACGAAGCCTCAATCAACAAATTAGTATCCTTGATTTTCGTCTTATTTTGGCCTCTAGAATCTCCCATTCAAATTTTTCCCAGAAGTGCCCGAACACCCTTTATAAGCGTTTCTTGTAAATTTCAAATATTTTGTATTGATTTCATGTCGAGTAAATTCTTGTAGAAAAACATGTAAACCTTCAATTTTCTGTGTAGATTAATTGCAAAACAATATTATTTATCATGAGTTCGACTTTAGAGTTGCGTATCAAGCAACGATCAGTAATAGAATTTTTAACTTCCAATCGAGCATCAACAGTCATCTGGTTGTTCTCATAGTCGATGGAGGTATTAAAAAGTTAACATTTTTCATCGAGTATCGAAGTTCGAGTTACTATCCACAATTGGATCGAGAGTAAAGCAGAATGTTTCTGTATGATTGAAATGAAAAAGTAGATAGAGCATATGTAAAAATGTGTTGCATTAAACACAGGTGATTATGTAGAAAAATAAGTATGTACATTTGGAGTACAGTAAATTAACTCTGAGATAAGTTCCATTAATTCTTTTTATCTCAAACATATTTTAGAGGATTAGAGACTTTAATTAGCAATCCACCCTCTATTAAATACAAAATATACGATATGCCATGGTATAATAAGTATTAGATCGTCCCATATGTTCGTTTTGTACTACTTGAAACAATATTTTAAACACATAATGAAATTTTATGAAAAACAGTAAACCTCTTCTCGTTCGACAACTCCCTTTCCTTTGTCAAAGCTATTATATCGTCGCTACAAAACTTATTTGATTTTTTATTAAAATGTAGTTCTACGCTTTTCATTAAAACGTTTACATTTATCATACAAATTATTATTATTTATTATCATTCAAATTATCGTACATTTTCAAATTTAATAAGCCTGGTGATTGTTGTGTTTTATTTCTTATAAGATTCGGTTTTATTATATGCTAACAAAAATATTCATACAAACAGTGCGGATTCCAAACATCGAACTCTGACACAATCTATTTCTTTCAAATTTCTATGAAACATTGATGTTAGTATGTTTAAAATGACAAAAATTCCCTGAGCAGACAAATTTTCTTTGTTTTCAATTAAATTACAAATTTTATCCTCGTCAATTTCAGAATATCGAGAAGCATGAACTTACAGGACGACCTACTATTTCATTATTCCATCACTTTCTTGACAAAACAGACGCGTACCTTTCCAGTTTCGATAATGAAAGCTTTACTTCGAAAGTTACGCAACGTACAAAAAATATCGAACGTGTAAGTCCTGAAGAAGGTCGAGAAGGTCAGACTTTCATCGAGGAAAATTGAGGCTTGGTCGAAGGCGTGTTTGAACGTTGCGCAAATGTCTAAAAAAAAAAAACTTGTAATCTCAATCGTACCATAAGAGAGTTACTACGAACGGGCTGCCAGGATCTATCAAAATCTAAACTGTAATTCCTTAGAAAGGAACGTACGTCAACCGTGGTCAGTGTCCTCGTCGAGCCTGTAGTTTCGTAACTCGTTGGGAGGACGGTTCAGAATTAATCGACGTAGACAGAAACGGTGTTTACCTATCGAAGGTCTGACAATGCCCGCAGGAAGATTGGATTTTTGAACCACATTCTCGCTGAGAGCTTTGCTGTAAGCGTATGTATTCGGCTGACCGTGCAATATCTTCGGCGTCATTGCATGAAGAACATCGTCCGTTAGATTCTTTACGGTGTTTATCACGACTTCCGGCTGTTCTGAACACTCGTAGTATCTTTCCTCGAGCACCGGTTCGGTACATTGGCTATACGCTGTCGAAACGTGGATGAACGACACTAAGTGTGGCATCTAGAAACAATTTACAAGTTATCTCCAGATATTCGTAAGTAGAAAAGTTGGTAGAAAGCATGCCTGAGGGAGATTGGACTCATTATTCAACAGATGTGCATTAGTGTACATGTGAATTGTGCACAATTTTTTACGATGAAAATTATTTTTTCAGATTTGTACGTGGGTTTGGAGTAGGGGTAGAATTTCTTGTCGAATATCTGAACACTTTAATGGTTGAAATATTATAAATGTAATTATACTATAAAAATTCATTCTTTCATCAATTTTAGGATGATCGTCTAAACAAGCTATATTTATGTTTAACGTGTTACATATACAATTACAAATATTTTAGTCGAAGGATGAATAAAAGTATTGTTGTGCATCTTAAACGTTGTACCTTTTCCTTCGCAATAATGATTTTTGCAGTCTTATAAATATCATAGGCTATAAATTATAAATGAAATTTTTACTCTCGACAACATAGAACGTAATCGCTTTAAATAACACATTTGAATAATACGTTTTCCACTCGTAGAAACAGTTTTTAGTTATTAGTTTTCTTTAAAATTCTACATTAGAAACGTCACAAAATTGTAATGAACAAAACCATATTATTATATGGCTCTGAGACAAATTCAATAAAGAAAATGAATTATTGTTGGCGCGATAGATCGGAAAAATGTGAGCATCGAAAGACGTTAAATTGCGTTTTCTTTAGGAAGAATTTGAAAAGATATTCACCTCTTTCACAAGATTTACGACGTTTTGGGTGCCCATAACGTTCATCGTCACTGCCTCCTTCAATGTCAAATCAAATTTCACGTTTGCCGCCATATGAAAGACCACAGAGACTTCTCGTAGCAATCTTTCCTTATCGGCGGTGGATAATGTGAGGTCGTCGTCTATGGTATCGCCAGAAACCAGTATGAGTTTCTTTAACCTTTCTGGATACTTCTCGTTGATCGTTTTTAATGGTTCTTCCTAAAAGCAACCAATCCATCTCTCGTTAAATGTCATTGTCTAGAAGGAAAACGCGACACTCGGCGAATTGCGTAACTCAAACGATTATGGGAACGTCGGTAGTGAGTAATTCCATTGAGCGGATAGCTCTTTTCGTTCTGGCAATAGTTTACGACACTAAATGCGACGATTAAGCGAAACAGAAAGGAGAATCGTGAACTTCGTTGTAACGGTATTTAACGATTTACTCTTAAGCGTGGTCTTGATTTCCTTATAACGAAACAACACCTGTCCAGTGTGGTTTTCTCTGAAACTTTGTAACGAAACGTGGCGAAATTAGCGGCCGCATGCCTTCAATATTATCGTCCCTTTCACTTTCGTTCGTGGACGCATTACAGATCGTAACTTATCGAATTGCCTGAGTAACTGTGTATGGACAAACCTTGATAAAAATAAATATACTGTCAGCAAATGTACAGTCAAAGAAAAAAGTTATCGTACACAAACCATTAACACAGATGGTGGTGTACAAAGAATATTTTCTCCATTTTACTTATTAGAGAATTTCGGTAACTCGAGAAGTTTCGATATTTTTTTTCAATTTTGCAGGGCCGTAGGGACCTCGAGACAAGTATCGGGCAATTTCTTTTTATCGACAATTCAGTTCTTCAAGGTGAAAACATTCCTTAGAGGTGGGTAGTATAAACGATCCAGTTACTGTCACCTTAAACTGTTCTACTTAACATACCAAATAAACAAATAAATACCAAATTATTTATAGTCTGTGTGGAGCAAACCTAATTTTTCATTTGTATATTACATATACAATGTTTATAATATTACAACATTACAATAATTGCACGACAGAAGTATCATCGAACTTCATTAATACATAAATTTGATTTTTGATTAAGGAGACAGTAATGGGTTCTTCCAACTTGACAGTAATTAGGTCAAACGCATTTTAAGAATGGCAGTAAGTTTTTAAAATATTCTGCTATAAATTATTAAATTTATAAATAAAAATGGAGATTATGGAGGGCCACAGTATTTGTTGTCTTAAATTAAAAATATTGAATAGTAACAAGTAAGAAGAAAAACCTTTTGATATTTTTTACCCTAAGTGTTTCTCAGGGAGTTAGGGGGGAAAGTAGTATTTATTTAAGGACATTTTTTGCTTCTTAAGAGATTCTTAAATCTTTTGCCTGCATTTTTCATTTCCAGACGATGTCAAAATTATTGAACTTTTAACATCCTCCTTTATAAGGAAGTTGTTATAACTAGTCGATAGTACATTTTTCTTTATCATTTTATATTCTAAATGTTTCATTTTTATGTTATATATATTTATCTTATTTATTTCGTTTGTAAAATCAGTTAATACTAGTTTTAGTTTTATATTAGTGATTGGACAATCATTGTCTTGGTCTGGTCAATAATTATCTCCCTTCGTAGGAGACATTTCCTATAAATACTTGAAGTTTGTGTATAAATAACAAAATATATACAGGGTGTTCGGCCACCTCTAGCAAAAATTTTAATGAGCGATAGTAGAGGCCAAAATAAGACAAAAATCAAGAATACTAATTTGTTGATGGAAGCTTCGTTAAAAAGTTATTAACAATTAAATTCAAAAATTTCAAATCGTTCTGGAAAAATTATTTTCGGTTGCGGGGGTCAACTATAATCATTTTTGGTGAGTACACATACCTCCGAAATCCTATCTACTTTCGAGAAAAAAAATCGAGTAGGTGCTGAAATTTTTCGGCAAAAAAAAATTTTTCAAATCGTTTTAAAAAAATTATTTTCGGTTGCGGGGATCAATTACAATCATTTTTTATCATTACACATACCTCCGAAATCGTACGCACTTTCGAGAAAAAAATTCCTTACTGAAAATCCAATTAGGTGCCTAAATTTTTCAACGGAGAAAAAAAATTGCAAATCGTTGTGGAAAAATTATTTTCGGTTGCGGGGGTCAATTACAATCAGTTTTTGTCATTAGACATACCCACGAAATCCTGCCCACTTTCAAGAAAAAAAATAGAGAAGGTGTGAAATTATTCGAGAAAATTAAAAATTTGCAAATCGTTGTGGAAAAATTATTTTCGGTTGTAGGGTTCAATTACAGTCATTTTTGGTGAATAGACATACCCCCGAAATCTTGCGCATTTTCGAGAAAAAAATTCAGTAAGAGCGGCACTTTAAACGTTAATAACTTTTTAACGAAGCTTCCACCAACAAATTAGTATTCTTGATTTTCGTCTTATTTTTGCCTCTACTATCGCTCATTAAAATTTTTGCTAGAGGTGGCCGAACACCCTGTATATAAAACATTGCTCAAGAAAACGTCCTCAAGAACATGTTCGTTTATATTGACTCACATTATCACCACTGTATTGCTGACTCCAATTACTATAATACAGAATGTTTTATTTTGGCCTTACGATATTTGTAACTTCTTTTTCTGACATTACACAGCGTTTCAGATGTTATTTTTATATTTTAATCAGCTTCGATCATTTCTACTAAATTCCAAGAACCCGTTCTTGATTCACACCTAATTAATTGTAAAATAACACGTTTATGGTGTGATCCTAATACTGAAGAACGACCTGCTCGTTTCCGGTTTTGGAGAGATCCGGTTTCATTGTATCTCGTTAGAACATACTGCATCATAGAATGTGATTTTTTCACCGTTTGAGCAATTTCCCGATTCGATCGACCTTCTTTCTACAATTCTGTAATTAAGTTATATATTGGAACCTGTATTTACATTTTGCGAACAGCATTTTAATGAATTCCAATTAGTGCTTGAAGTATTTTCTGAGCTTCGTTTCCAAAAATTGTGTACCATTTCTTGTCTACACTTTAATATTAACAAAATTTTGTTAGTAAATAGAACATTGTCAGAATTGGAAAGACAGGTACAGATTTTATTAATAATGTACATAGACTTTTTAGGCGACTATATTAAATTTGAATGTTTCTTTTTTTTATATGAAATATTGTTCCGCTTCAGTCGTATATTCGTTTTCATGCAGACTAGTAAATTTAAATCGTGTTACAAAAATTATTTTACCTGCCAAAACAGAAGCGATCAATATACTATAGATTCGTCAGTTTTCGTGGAATTAAAAATACATACTAAATATTCATAAGAACATGTCTGCTGATAATATATTTTTATAAATTATGTGACATGCGAGGTATTAAATCGTTTATTTGTGCCTTGTCATTGGAGATAGTTTATATTAATTATCACAAACGACTTTTTACCTCAATAATATTCGCTCATTCCTAAACACGTTTCGATCGACATTTTAAAGTTTAACAATTTGAAATAAAACTCGTTTAATATATCTTTTAGAAGGTCGCTTGCCTGCAAACTATTTACAAAATATAGCTAATATTTAATTGTCAAAATAATATAATATAATAGTAATCGTATAGGTAATTATCAAATTTAAATTTCCTTCCACTTATGCAGACACAATAAAAATTGATTTTAAAGATCCATTTCTTTGTTCCGCGAATAAAAATTGAATCGGAATTCATTGCAAGGTCAAACGTGAATTTTTCTGCCTTAAATTTCAGACGCAATTCACGGAAGACCTTGCGCCTCCACGAGTGAAGGTGTAAATATAAAACTTTAGTTTCTTTTATTTACTTCGTCACAAGAGTGAATTAAAATTATTTTATTCACATAATAACAGATAAAAAGTAAAAATGTCTTAGGCAGATTTATTAGCAACGTATCTCGATCGAACAATTACTCAGTTAAACTTCTATTTTAGGTTTAGTTTACTGTCAACTATGATTTCATTTTAGAAATTCAAACTTTAATTTCTACTTTACGAGTAACAAATGTTTGTCTTTAAATTAATTTTTGATTAACGTTACTCTTCTTCTCTTAGATACTTTATATTTTTTATGTTTACATTCTTCATTAACTTTTAATACCCTGCGAATAATAATTATTGAAATTTATTCTTAGAATCGTATCTTTCTGGAAGTTCGAGCCCAATTATGATACTCTTATCACGCATTGAAATCGCTCGAACGACGTTCTCCTTGACGTTGCGTTTGCAATATTATTACACGAAAACTAGTCGCATAATCGATTTGAACTTTTCGCTGTACGTTGAATGGTTTGGTCCCTTGAAAAAGCTGAATCATGTTTCAGATGTTTTGTCTTAAAAGTTGCCGTATATAAACCTGTTTTTCAAATTCTCGGAATCCATTTGCTACAAGATAGAGTCGTGTGAATGCCAAGCACTATAAATAGTTTTCAGAAAAACGATAAAAAAAAGATTGAAAGAAAAATATTTACCAGAAGAGCCTCAGTTTCCTAAAAAATCTCTAATTCGAAGTTCTTGCATTTCGTTTTTTCAACGTTTTGATGAAATATAGTTAAGTGAAAATTCAAGTATTCGTGTTTATGACAATTATAAATATAACCAATTATGTATTTGAATTTTTATGTTTTCTATTCACTTTTATAGCTTTTAAAATCAAGATAAAAATAGAAAATAGATTATTTCTAGAGATTGAAATACAACTAAAATCACAATGGTAATAGGTAGTGTAAATTTCTTTTATATTTCATACTGTTTATTTTACTGTTATAATATACACTGCTGTAAGTAGTCTCCATCTGGAAATAAGGAAGCTATGCAACTTTGTATGAAAAACATTATTCTTATCATGTATAATTTACTAGTTGTTCAAGGTAAATACGTTAGAATGTCTCTTCCTCTAAGAATATACAAATGATGCATTCGTATTGCTTCTCTCATAATTTATAACAGATACTCATTGTCTAGAGACGAAAAAATTTGTAATTCAAAAATACTGTTATCATTTTGCGATTTCTTTGAAAACTAAACGGCAAAGAAAAGTTTCGTCAATAATTAATTGGCAATAAAATTTATTCGTTCGACATAGAAAATCCCATAATATTTTTTTCAGCTTAGATAATTATATAGGAAATCACAATCATCTTCGACAATATTTAAATTCAGATTTAAGTATTCGGAAGGAAGTCCTGTATATTGCAAGATTTACAGATAATTAATTAAGATTTTTTAAATATAAGTTTTCAAAGCTTATATTTATTAATTTATATTAATTTTATATTAATTTCTTTCGTTAAAATGTTTAATTTAGTTAATCAATTTGTTATCTGAACAACTTTAGGCATTTACGACGAATAGTTTGAATTAATAACATTCCCAGTAAACCGCAAGTAGCCTTCGAAGATGATAATATTGTCGATTCAGAGAAAGGTAAATCGAAGATTAAGTGTCGTCGTCAAGGTCGATTTCCCGTGAATCTGGGAATCGATTATATCCTCAAGTTTTTATATTTCATTTAAGCTCGTTAATAACGTCTTTATTCTCAATTTCTGTTATATTTATACCACGAAATTTTCAGCGATTGTAAAATTCCTTTAGAATATTTCCTAGAGAGTTCATACTCATATAACACTCATGCATGAGTTACAGGACTGTTTATAAAGCACTTACAAAAATTACAAAAAATACAAAAATTTCGATGAAGCTAAAAAAAAAATACCACAACAAATGTTACATTGAGCGGTTTCCAATCGTCTAACGAGAGCAAAATGTTAGTCTCGTAGAATATTTTATGAATTTGACGATCAACGTGTTAAAGAGAATTACATATTCACCTATTATTAATGTGTACACCGAAAGATAACCCAGATTCAATTGAAAATGTTGAAATTACGAATAATTTTACGTTTGTCCTTACGTCTGTGATTAAGTAGTCAAAATATATTTGAGAAATACGTAGAATAGGTCAATGTTGTTTTCTTAAAAGGACCACAGAATTATAAATACAGTTTAATTTATTGACGTCCCTAACGAAAACCATGCTTTCTATACCTACGTGAATGAATATTAATACATTCGTAGATATTGACGTAATATTACGTTACGAAGGAATCTCCTGTCCCCATTTCAATAGTTATGAAATCTTAAAAAATATACTTATTATCAATTTTACGTTCGATTCTATAAACATTTTTGAGTATGTATTTGTATAAATAAATAATTAATGTGAACTTGATTATTTAAATTATCATTGGATAAAAGTAGTTAACTATTAATATTTATTAGTACATATTAGAATTTACTACAATCTTGCTATATACATTTTATAATAATTTATTTGAAAGCGTAATCAAATTGAGTTTGGGAGAAAAATATTATTTTCAGCAGAGCCATGATTCCAAACATACTGTTAAAAAAAAAACAAAGGAATAGAGCTTATACAACGTGTCTAAACAAATTGATACTTCACCCCAGAAATCAGAAAAAGAAAAATGACTAATAATCGCTTTTATCGAGGAATAGTCAAAAATTTCATCAAATATTACAAAACCAAATTTATAGAATCAATCCCAAGACAGCTAGAAGCAATTGTTGATGCTATGGGGAAACATATTTCGTAATCTCACCTGCGTGGAAATATAAATTTATTTTTTGATTACGAAATTTTCATTTGTTCTCATATTATTTCGAACGATAAATTATTAACATGTCTAAGTGTGCATATTGATTTCATGCACAATAAAATACTACAAAATGAACATGACATTGATGTTTTACTTTTTTACAAGCAATTATCTTCGAACAACCGAGAGTGCAAATATTTTGTCGAGTTACTCTGAGTTGGGGTATGATTGTGCTATGAACGAAATTAAAATGTATCGTTTGAGATTACCTGTAGTATGCGTTGTAGCCTGGCCTGTGGTTCAACTCCTCTCTTCTTTCTGATCAGTACGAAAACGTTGCCAAGGTCCGGACAGCTGAGCATTAGTTTGTAAATTAAAACTTTCCCCATAAATCCAGTGCCTCCGGTGATAAAGATATTTCGGCCACGATACCATTCTGCTACAGATGTAATTTTTGATTCCATTTCCGGAAACGCTGCGAAACAAAGGGATATAAATTAGGGACAGACGCACCGGCTGCATACCAACGACGATCAAACTGAAGATATATTCTTTGTTTTGCGAAACTCCGGTATTTCCCGAGATGCAAATACCACGTTCGCAGCCAGTGACGCAATTTAACGTATTAAATACGTCTTTTTAAATGCGGAAGCTAAGACAATGGCTCTTAGGAACGAACATCAACTAATACAATCGACTTATTAACCCTAAGTCGAATCCAACTTGACGTGGATATTTTTTTTTCTAGCGTTGTATCCATCTTTTTTTTACTAATGTCGTATCATTAGTATTTTGAACAGGGTAAGCTCAGGTTCTACAGGGTGTCCCGTAAATAGTGTAAGAACCGGAAATGGGGGGTAGCTGAGACGATTCTGAACAACGTCGTGATACGTTTTTAGTCGACTCTAAAACGGATATCATTTGACCAATTCGATTAAATAAAATTGAAGCAAGCAGTGTTAATGTTCTTTATGCAATGAACAACTCAATCGATTAGAATTAGTATTCTTCGCGCTAATTTTGGGAGATCACGTCTTTGTGTATTTACGTGTAGTTCAATTGTCAAATACCATTATCTCGAAAACGAAGCATTACAAGATAAAATTTTATTCCACATTTTCAACTTATTTGATCGGTGCACTACGAATAACGGAATACCTTGTATAGATATTGCATTCGTTGAAGATAACATTTGCTTTTCGTAACACTTTTTACATAATTTATATTTTCAGAGATATTATGGTGACGTCAAATTTATTAAAGTACTTTTATTCATTCCCGAAATATTTTTTGACATAGCTAATAATATTGACAATTGTCTTAATTAAAATAGAACACAGTGTACGTGTAGATTTCACGAACGAAATGGAACTCTAATTTAACAGTAATTTTGTAAAAGTTAATTTCAAAATAGTAATTTAAACTAAATATATATTCATATGTAATGAAAATAATAGTGATTATCACATAAAGTTAATTTCATATAAATGGTAATATCAAGTACATATTGTAGAATTTAATGAGCATTACCATTTAGTTTCTAAAAACTATATTTATCGTTTATTTTAAACACTCTACTTTGATTTTTCTTAATCGATTGTAATTTTACTCGTGCACAAGTTCTTGAACTGAGTGTATAAAAATACTTACATCATTAATATCGTTCATTTTTTTTATTATTGTCTCTTTTACGTCAGTATCTATCAGCTTAATTAACTAGATTAAGAATACCTAGACTGCAAGAAAACATACTGAAAATATCAATGTATTAAATCATGACGTATCCTATATTTTAAGATTTATTAATTTATTTTATTAAAACACATTAATATATTTAATATACATATATAATATAATATATATATTTGTTTAGTTCATATATTCCCATAATAAGTATCGTTAAGCCGAGTCTCCATTATTCATTATCTATGAAGTTTGTAAATAAATAATTAAATTGAGATTTTTTAGTCCACTAAATTCATTCTATCTCTCATAAATAATAATGAGTTTCCTATTTTGAGTTCATTTAGATATCGTTTAATCTAGATATTACAACTAAAAATATTTGTTGTTGTTACTAATTTTTTAGATATATTATGTTAATTTTTGAATGTATAATTTTATTTTCACAGCTTTCTGAGAGTGAACCGACACCTGTGGTTATTATTGAATAATTTCTATTTTTCTAAACGTGAATGCAGCAAACCCATTATACTTAAAATAGAATTCATTATATAATTATATACAAATTTTTTAAAATAATTATAGTTCTTTTTATAAATTGCCACATTATATGACTATATATATGTTGCTAAGTTTTATTAGAAAGGATTAGACCTTAGATAATTATGGATTATATTCTTGGAACATACAAGTAAATTGTTAAATAATATCATTGATATTAGGAATAATACAAAATAACATAATTTGAAAAAATGTCAAGGATATTCCTGAACAGGGACAACTGGTGTGACAGTAAACGTATTAAATAGAAACAGAATATACTACATGATAGTAAAACATTACTATTCATTAAATGACGTATTACGCTAACGATTTTTGTATCTTTAGGAATTTATGTTACCTAATATACATATACATCACATATTGTTGATGCTTATCCAAAATTCTAGTCGATCGTTTTCATGCTTGGCATTTATTAAACATAATCAAACAAGTAGACGTTTTATTGGTTTCCCTTTTAAATTCGTTGTTAAATTCTTATGCAACATTAATTTAAAAGTAGTTTCGAATTTGTATAGATTCTTGTGATTTAAGTATACCACTTGCGCTTTGCGTTAACTTGACACATTTACGTTAATGACGGAATAATAATTTGAAATATAATTATAATATGTTATTGTTGTAATTAGGTTGCAGCTTATTTCTATCGTCGACACATTTTCAAATGTCATTGTTAGTGATAAGCATACAATCGTATAAAATAAATGTCACGTTCGATTTGCATACAGTTACGACCTTGCATTGTTTGCAGAACCGTACACAAGCCGATTTTATTCTTGATATTGTTTACACGAGTCGTTTATTTGCTACAACAGTGACATAATTAAAAAATCGTTAGCTCATGAAAAACGAATTCAAATTTTGTATTGAAACAGTAAATTGTTATAACAAGAAATTGAATTGAGGCAATAGTATTATGTTATTGACATTCGCTGCTGGAAATTTAATAATAACCTTTATTATTGTATCAACGATTAAAAAATGACAAATCCAGATGCAACTTTAAATTAAAGAAAAACTATGCATCAAATGACTTTTTTTTCTACGCATAAAGAAAACCTTTCTTCACTTAATAATGTTGATACGACGTCGTGCATGAAATGTGACTAAAATTAAAAATAATAATGTCTTCGTAATTTTTAGCGTCAATTGCTATTAATGTTGAATCAAATTAAGGAAAACATATATATATAATCAAAATGATATGTGTGATGATGAGTTTTAAAAATAATTCTTCAACTTAACATTACAATAAAGTTAAAAAACCGTTTGGATCGACATTAACAACATTTAACATTACAAATTAAGAATTATTGGAGGTGTGATGTTCACCATAAAAAAGACACGTTACATGTATATTGATTATTAATTAGCTGGTTCTTTTTATCTTTTGCACAACTTTAGCGAAAAGGTGTTCCTTTTGAATGAAAGAAAACGCATTTCACTTTAATGTGTAGTTTTTCTTCGACTTACTTTTGAAGTTGCAGCTAGATTATGTAATTCTAGTCATACGTACTCCATTAAAATACGGAAGTCGTAAAATAAACGTTTTACGAGATATTTCACAATAAAATTATTAAATCTCCCAGTTTCTACAAGGATCAATTGTTAAATCTACCAATTCCTACAAAAGAAGTTGGAATTTATAAAATATTACGTATGGTACGATTAAAAAAAGAATTCCAATTGCACTTTGCAGGTGCATCGTTGCACTAACAAAAAAAAAGTAAGATTATAAGGAGACGAATCTTGTTATACAGTTTTTTGTTTAATTCAATAAACGTTTACTGTCCTGTATTTCCTCGCAAAATGAGAAAATAATGGGCCAGTGAAAATGAATTCTTTCAGTGTGTGGTTGCTACATCGATCGTTAATTACAGAAAATTTCACTTTTAATACATCATTTACGTGCTCTGCTACATATAGTCGTCCAAACTTACATAGTTCATTCAATGTAATATCAGGAAGTAAAGTGCACCGACAGGGAAGTCAGATTCTGAACTCTGATATTTTTAAATTTATTAAACATTGGGAGTATATAAAAAAGATTATATACACAAGCAACACATTATATTTGGTGTTGTTAGAATTCATTTTAAAGATGTAGAATCGTTATTATGCACTTGATGTAATAGACTTCTTTTCTTCCAAAATTTCATTGAAGATAACAATTTGAATAGTTGCTCGACGAAGAATAATTGTTAAAATATGTCATTCAAAAGTTCGTATGAGGTAAAAGTGTTTTTGACTATTAATTTTTATGATCTGCTTCAGTAACAAAAATGTTTAATCGTGTAATATAAAGAAACAAAAATTATTTCGAGAAATATGACAAAGATATCAAACTTTTATTAACGGATGGCACCAGATTTTTTTGAAACGTATCATTATTGCTTATATTAATTGTCATGAAACGAAAAAACGGTTTCGTCATTGATTATTATAAAAAAATGGTATTTAAAGCGTACTGGAAATTTTATGAATACAAATAGACTATATATATACACATATTTACGAATTAGACAGACCGGACGTTTCGAGAGAATTCCATACTCATTAGGGATAATTCTACCCAACGTACAAATATTCATTATTAAACACACTAAGTGCAAAATTACGGATTTTCCAAAATAACTTCATTAATGTTGTTTTTTTTAAACGAATTGCAGAAGAAATAATCGAAAGAGAAGGAAATTTTATATAAAAATATATATTTATTAGATAAAATTTCCTGCTCAAATATTATACCAACCTTGTATATTACAAAATTTAACGGATTGATTAAAGAGATAAACTTTTGTACACTTAGTTTTTTTACACGATTAGAACCGTTTGTAAAATCCTATCTTTACTCTATCGTTAGATATCATTATAATATATCCCTGTTCTTTTAAGTTTTCCAACATTTTATTCGTATATAGCAATATGACAACAAGAAAACAATAATGTAATGCATACTAAGCATCAATATTTACAATACAATCTTTATATAAACTATTTATTAAAGTGTGCTAAATTAGATTTACAATTAATTACAATTATCCACTCGTTTTCATTACTTTGTAAATATCTTTTATTTTTCATCATTGCTGTAGAGATTATTTTCTAGTAAAAATTGCGTATATAATCGAACGATTATTTTTTGCTTTATTTTCGTATCACTTAAGACAATGAACAGTCTGACAAATATGATCAAAATTTCTCTTTTTTCCCTTAGATTGCTTCGTTAGTTTGGGTGTCGAAAATTTCCCTCTAGCAAAGTTACAAATTCCATTGCCAAAAAGATTTTTCATCCATCAAAGTTCGAACTCACGCATAACGTTTCGTATCGTTTACAACTGTCTGGAATTAGTCCATTTAAACTGTCCTCGAATCATCGTTAAACGCGCAAATTCGTATCCGTGATTCGAACTTCGTTAGTTTGGGTGTCGAAAATTTCCCGCTAAGTTAGAAATTCCACCGCCAAAAAGATTTTTCATCCGTCAAAGATCGAACTCACGCATTACGTTTCGTATCGTTTATAACTGTCTGGAATTAGTCCATTTCAACTGTCCTCGAATCATCGTTAAACGCACGAATTTGTATGCGTGATTCGAACTTCGTTAGTTTGGGTGTCGAAAATTTCCCGTTAAGTTAGAAATTCCACCGCCAAAAAGATTTTTCATCCGTCAAAGTTCGAACTCACGCATAACGTTTCGTATCGTTTACAACTGTCTGGAATTAGTCCATTTAAACTGTCCTCGAATCATCGTTAAACGCGCAAATTCGTATCCGTGATTCGAACTTCGTTAGTTTGGGTGTCGAAAATTTCCCGCTAAGTTAGAAATTCCACCGCCAAAAAGATTTTTCATCCGTCAAAGATCGAACTCACGCATAACGTTTCGTATCGTTTACAACTGTCTGGAATTAGTCCATTTAAACTGTCCTCGAATCATCGTTAAACGCACGAATTCGTATCCGTGATCTTACCAGATAATTCGCACATGTGAATCGCGAGCACCGTACCGTTCACGTTCGGCGGTAAAATACGCAGTAATGCTGATATACGTACCTAAAGCGAGCAAGCCGAAGGAAAAATCACGAAACGAGTTTGAGCAACTTGTCGACGTTCTGGAGCCTCGGTTTCACCAAATCACACGGCTACCTCTTTTTTAGCGGAGATATCGCGAACGGAAAACGCGGTCGGGAAGACGTTCGATCGCGAAGAGAGGAGCGGAATTGTACGTGCGCCCTGTTGCTCGTTCGGCCGACACCGTACTTGTCTGGCGAGAATCAAACGTTTCGTCCCACGGGGAGAGCTATCGTGTGAGGAAACTACGTGCAACGGGAGGCGTATCGGGTAATCCCTTAGCGAATCATAACGAAGGTATACCAAACACGGACTGACCGTCTACGCGCGATCGGCGAACACTTTATCCCTGGCGGCGGTTATTCTTATACTTGACCAGTGACTTAGGCGCGCGGCGTGATCTACCGTCGAGAAGTCATTGTCTTTGCTAAGCTTCTCAAGGTCGTTCCCTTGTGTCTCGATCCCGTGGATCGCGTCCTTGCGCGACCTGTTTCGATCTCGGATCAACGTGCACCGAACATAAACTCACCGTGGCAATAACTCAGTCGTTATCGGGCAACGAGCATCTCGACGTTCTAGACCCAATTTATCTCGCGCAAAGTGGCGGACGTATACTTACGAACACTTCTTGAGGGAGTATACTACATTACAACGTTTCAGTGATTCTTTGGAATTTTCTTTAACAGTCCGTTTACCAAGATAAATCTGGAAAAATAATTCTCTACTCTACAATACGACACTTTAGTGGTTCTTTGGAATTTTTTTTTTCAAGGGGGGGACGATAAAATATTTTTGTATTTTACACACATATATTTACAGTCCGTTTACCAAGATACACCCGAAAAAACAATTCTCTACTCTACAATACAACACTTTAGTGGTTCTTTGGAATACCTTTTTTCAAGGGGGGGGGACGATAAAATATTTGGTGTCAAGTTTACACACGTATATTTGCAGTCCGTTTATCAAGATAAATCTGAAAAAAATAATTTTTTACTGTACTCTATAACATCTTAGTAGTTCTTTGGAATTTTTAAGGGGGGGGACGATAAAATATTTTTGTATCGAGTTTACGTGCATTTACAGTCCATTTACCAACATAAATCTGAAAAGAAATAATTTTCTACTCTACATTATGACACTTTAGTGGTTCTTTGGAATTTTTTTTGGCGTGGAGGGGGACGATAAAATTTGTTTTTGTATCGAGTTTACACACATATGTTTACAGTCTGTTTACCAGGAGCGTGAATGGGATAAATCTGAAAAAAATAATTTTTTAGTCTACACTATAATACTTTACTGGTTCTTTGGAATTTTTTTTTTGAAGGAAGGGACGATAAAATATTTTTGTGTCGAGTTTACACACGTATATTTGCAGTCCGTTTACCAAGATAAATCTGAAAAAAATAATTTTCTACTGTACACTATAACACTTTAGTAGTTCTTTGGAATTATTTTTTTTGAAGGGGGGACGATAAAATTTGTTTTTGTATCGAGTTTACACACATATGTTTACAGTGTGTTTACCAGCAGCGTGAACGCGATAAATCTGAAAAAAATAATTTTCTTCGTAAAAAATTGTGTACAAATTGCAAGTCTATTTAAAAATCTAACACGCATTTGTTTAATAATAGTTTAGGCATGCTTTCTACCATATCTTGCGAATTTTTCTGCTTCATGATTTGAACGTCAAACAACGTTCCCCTCGAAGTTTACATTTCATTACAAACATTTAACACTAGATTTACGGACACTCGTGGCGCATATTTTTTATTGTGATTCGCTGTGTTGACAGTTACATTGAAGTGGAATAATATTTATGGATTCTGTAACATTGAGTTCAGTTATTAACAAAATTCGCGAGACTTGTGCATAGATCTTGTTGCACTTCCAACACTCGTTTTTGGCTCTTTTTGGATGACAGCACGAGAAGACCGTTCCTGATCGTTTAGCATATACGGCACTCATATCGAAAACGACTGTATATCGCATTGACACGATTGAAACTGAAGGACTCGAGTGAACGCGTATCGAAAGAAATTGCAAGTGTTTAAAGTAACACAATCTCCCTCTCATTCGGAAATACCGCATCCACGCTCTTAGCGAACAGACTGTAGATTTATATTTGAAGAACATCCATACTTTCCTCCATACAAAAATATTCAATATTTTACAAATTATGGTAATTTTAGCAGTGGTTCTTTAAGGGGTCATCTGACGGCCAAAAAATTGAGGTTTCCTTCAGAGATGTCTCAGAGTATCTCAGTAAATATACTGTATATTAAAATAAATATTTGTTTGTATTCATTAAAGTACATGCAAATAATATACGAAAATTTTAAAGATAATGTCCAATCGTTGATATTCAATATTTCTATATGGCGTCTTAAAAATCAAGTATATCCATTATGAGACTGATTTTTCGGTTTAGATATACTTAAAAAAATTAAATAAAATTACTAATTTGTGAGTGTATCGCTATCGTCCCTACAACGATTAATAATTTTTGTTAATGAATTGAAAAATAGCACCGTTTCGAATACAAATTTAAAAATAAATTTTTTTGATTATTTTATTACATAAGAGGTATGATAAAATAAATATTTTGATATGATTTTGGTAGGGACGATAGCCATAGATTTTTGTTCCGCGATGCAGAAAAAAAACTCGTTTAAAAAAAAATGTATTTAAAATTTTTAAATGCGCAAACTGGACGTAATAAGTAATTCGAGTTCCGTTACACAGACTAGTTGTACAGCATCGAAATAGTTCAAATTTCCTTACCAAACTTGTACAGTAGATTTTTGTATGCATATTGAAAAATTAAAAAATCGTACTTGCATTAGACTGTATGTCAACATGATTGCACTTTGTGATCAAAGTCTACGACGGACCAACACTGCCATTATTCACTGACGTATGACGGAAGTTGGAAGACAAATCACGTTGCACAAATCCATTACAGACAAAACTGCGCGTGAAGACCTTTAGTTCATCCGCGGATTCTGATAAAAACTGTGCACTTTCGTTTCGATGAAAGTTACATCGGTTGTTCCACAGACTCGAACGGAGTTGACTCGTTTGCATCGTACGGAAAAATGAAAAATATGCCTTTATCGGTACATGTTTTTTAAATCAAATTTAAGTGCAAATATTTCAAAAAGTATTACAAACTTAATATTTCAGTGATTTGTTTTTTACCACTACTATTTATATGCAGAGAGTGGTCCATGTAACTGAAACGATTGCAGATACAAAAGAATGCCATGAGGCAATATTGAAAGGCATCAAACTCGATGTAATTATATTAATTTTTACGTATCGAATCTGTTGAATCATCTGTCAAAAACATGCTAACCCATTGTGAGGCTATACTCCAAAATAAAAGAGATTCCACACAATATTAGATAATTGCCTCATATTATATGTATATGTACTTTATGACATGATTTATGTACTTTAAACCTATTTGTGAATTTTTCAAAGATACTTATACATTCTCGAATATCAAGCAAACGCTCTTGTGAAACGTATTGTGATTTACCTATATTATGTTTATGATATATTTTTTGAGTTTTAAATAATTACTAATAATGGCTGTAAAATTTCTAATATTAATTATTATTATTTTGGTAAATAATTATTAGTAGCAAATTACATAATTACCTTAAATTACCATAATTAATTAAATTAGAGTATTATTTTTAAACATAAAACTAAATTAACTGAATCAAAAGATAATTTCCAATATGCCGGAACGTTTAAGCCACGTCTCAAAAGCGAAAGGTTCTGCTACAAAATTGTTATCTAGAACGTTCAATTCACTGTTTTTTTTTACACGCGTCCAAATATTTGTGTAACACAATAACGACATACCTTTTTCAATTATCGTCAATTAGAATACAATGTTTATAAAATTGCTGAACAAAATTTAAATATTGTACAATTCTAATAAATGACTTATCAAATGGGAAAAGAATAAATTGATTTTATGCAGAAACAATTAAGATATAAAGAAATAAATCTATGTATGTTTTAGTATCCAAATATTTTCGTTAATCACGCATATTCCTCCACATCTTGAATATGCATCATATACTTGATAACCTTTGTAACTATGTCTCGCTAAGCTGGTGGAAAGTGTTCAACGCGAATTTCCGTGGTATGTTTTAATGTATAAATAATATTTATCAGATTGGTGGTTACAGCTTTCAAAACAGCTGTCAAACTTTCGATTAATACCAGATATTATTTGTCAGGGTGTATGTTTAAAGGTTTTCGAGGCCACCGAGTACCGTTCTAACGTCAAAATTGCTATTTCACAGTTGACATCTGTGAAAATAATTATACGGAGAAAACTATAGTATCGGTGCTAGTGTTGGATGTTGTTTCACTCGAAAGACAACATTCAAATAAAAAAGAATATTATACTGTAGGATATTTGTGTTGAATGTTTGTGTCACGCTGCAGTTCGGTTCGGAGATGTGTGTTGAATGTTTGTGTCACGCTGTAGTTTGGAGTAATGTTAAGTTATGTGCAAAAGGATTGAGTGTGTTTTGTTAAAAAAGAAGGGGTTACCAGGGACAGCGAAACAACGGGGAGAGAGTAACGAGTGATTGAAAGAGACAGACGTGGTTTGAATTTGTGTGGATAATTAACGAGATTTTGATTTGTGTAAAAAGATTGTGTGTTTATTGTGTTTCAAATTCGTTCATTTAGTTATATTATTTGTACATTTGTTCCAAATACAATTCTTTTTCGTTAAATCCTACAATACTATCTTTTGTATGCCATTGTTAACACTGGATTAGCAATAGCAATAGTGAATCTGGGAAAGCTCGAAGGGTGAAGGAGGCTAACAAAACATCGCGAGAAAAATTCAAGAATTTGAAAATTTCACTCCTAAAAATTATGAATAAAAATAGAAATATGCATTATAAGTTTTAATGATCATTTAACGAATAAAAACATCGTTTAAAACGATAAAAGTTCAGAAAATAGGTTTTTATTAATGCGGAGGACTTAGACTCTTATAGCCACCCTTCCCCCCTTGTCCTCCTATCTGCCTTTGGTAATCAGGATAAAAATATTATAGCAACTTGGTAGCATGTAGAGCCTCCTGCATTCTCAACAAGTTCGAGAATTTGATTTAGTATGTTTTCAAACTTTCGTTGTATTTTTTCTTTTGCTTCGTTCTATACAGGGTGTTCGGCCACTGGGAAAAATTTTAATGACAGATTCTAGAGGCCAAAATAAGGCGAAAATCAAGAATATCAAGTTATTGATTGAGACTTCGTTAAAAAGTTATTAAAAAATTAAATTAAAAAATTTCAAATCATTCTGAAAAAATTATTTTTGGTTGCGGGTATCAATTACAATCATTTTTGGTGAATATACTTACCCCCGAAATCCTACCCAGTTTTGAGGAAAAAATTCG